TCTCCCAGGACGTATCGATCCCCCGTGCGAGCGTATCAATGTACAGCGGCGGATCCTTTGCTTCGTGGCTCCACATCTAAGGCACGTTGCTTATGCACGCGTGCATATAACTGCACGGAGCACGCGCTGCCCCAGGAAGCGGGTTTTGTAACGCCGAGACAGGTGTTCTCGACGTTGCGTCATGCCGCAGCAATTTGTCTCGTATACACGTATACGGGGTGTCCCCTAAGAAGCTGTGTAACAGCACAAGAATCCATTTTTCTCGGGAGAATGTTTAATTTGACATCCCTATTTATCATCATTTCTGAATTATGTCTTACGAGCGGCTCCCCCGTGCAGCTTCAGATTTATTCCTTCGATTTTCTTGCTTCTTTAATATTCTCTCAATTTTACGTATTTTCCTGCCCATTAAATCTTCGAATAAAATTCTCGTTGGGAAAGAGTTGAGCAAACGCGAGCTGCGATCGTAATTGCAACTGCGGCTTATTAGAAATTATTTTTGCAGGACACCCTGTACCCGGTAACGTGCGCTCATTCCGCTCTCGTAATATCGAGATGCCGATAGAAAAGTTGCATTCCGCGTGCCCCGCTCATACCGCGCCGTACCATACCTTACGTACACCTCGACTGTTGCCGCAATCGTAATAAAAATTGATTTAGCAACGGTCGGTGAGATTGGCACATTATTGAACGTGAGAGTTAAGCCAAGCTAGCGCCCGGGCATTACAATACCTTAATACCTTGCTTCCAGAATTAAGTGTGAATGCTTTTCGACGCGATGAAAGAGAAGTCGATATCGCGGAGAAAAAAATACTACGAAAATTAAACTTTTAATTTTGCGCAGCAAAGACTCGACTCAATTTCGATCGCTCGGGTCCTGCTGCGAAATTCCTGTCCGGTCAATGCTCAAAGGTTGACGTGTGAACATAAAACGCTCATCCGTGCAATGCGATTTCTTGGGATTAAAAATTCCTCGCCAAGCTTTTTCACCGCACAAGGACTCGCTATTCTCCCGTTTCATCCGTGCGCATACCGCGTGTTAAGCGCGCTGGCTCTCGGGGTTCGGGAGAATAGCGCGCTTTTACCGCACTCCACGCTGGAATTTTGTTCAGCGATTTACCGTTGCACGTGCGCGCACCATCAACGTCAAGGCGGATCCTGGCGCGAGGAAGCTCTGAAGGGTTCGCGCGCGCGGTACCGCGCGCGGACACGCGAGGTGTAAAACGTAGATGCCGCGTGGTTGAGAAATAGCGAGGGGGCTCGCCGGTGAAGTGGCAGTCGTTGCGCGAGGTCGACGCAGTCGGCACTAACGGTATGCGCCTTTTAGGTATGCCTGTGTATGCCCAAAGGCGGATGCAGGTATGGCCACATTTGTAGAATCGGATGTGCGCGCCGCGACGATATTCAAACCGTCCGATGGAGCGTGCACGGACGTCGCGCGCAAAACGAGCAAAACGGACGGACGACGGACGGGGCCGGTTGTATCCTGGAGCTCTCGTCCTCTTCGTTTCGCGCGCACTCGGGTGTGCGGTCTCTCTTCCCTCGTCGGTGACTGATTAAATGATTGATCGTCACCGCGGGAACGATTATACACTCTGCCGGACGAATCCACCGCGAGCCAGCATAATAAGTCGTGATGAATTAATGTTTCGTTTGCTTTCGTGAGGAGAGGCGGAAATCGACGATCTACGCTACATCCGGATGGGACGAGACTTGGAGTCTTGCGAGAAAAAGCTTCAGCGAGGAATGTAATTGATGATAACGTCTCCACGCGGCGACTGAAATTCAAAGAATTATGTAGAAATATTTTCATATGTACCGTTCTCTGAAATTTTTTTCTTCTTCTCACGTAGGACGATTTATAATGGAATATCTTGTTCTTTATGTGTCTTTTTAGAAAGACCTGAGTACTCATTTTTTATATAGAAAGCGTCAAAACTCAATACGAGCATGAAGAACACTTGAGAACTTGAATAACCATTAGCTCGTCTAGGCAAATAGAGAAAGTCTTCTTCCGTGCAACAACAGTGCAGCATCCTACGATAATTTTGTACAAAAAACACACTGTCTTATTTCATATTATTTTTCAGCTACTGTGTAATAAGTAGTTTCGCGTTTTATATAAATAAATCTGTCTACTTTTGTTATCAGGCAAAGCGTAACACGCAAATTAAATATTTATTTGTCGAAATTGTAATGAAGTTTTACTTGTGTCACACGACTTTTTAAGCGTGTTGCGTAAAAAAGCCATAAAATCATCTATGAGATAATAGAAAATTACACAATATTTATTTCTAAATAATTTGGGAAAAATCCGAGATGAGCAAATAATAATCGAAACTGAACTAATGAAACATCTACTAATTTATTGTCTTTAATGTGAGTAGAACGGTGACTGAAGGAGAAGGCTTATGCATACGTGATCATGGCTATTGACCAAAACGTATCCGTGTTTCCGGTAGGTTCACGCTCAGCGAAATTCTTCAGCTTGCAGAACGAATGAGATTTTTTTTCCATCTCCGCTCCTCGCTTTCTTGTCGCCCACTCGCGGCTTTGTGGTGCAGTGTTTTTGTGTGACCTTTTAATATGCGAAAAGCAGCTCCGACCTGTCGTTTGTCATTAATAAGGATTTCTGCGCCTTTGTCAAGACCACCTCCTCCCCCGCCAGTTTCAAACGAAAGAATTCTTCGAACCAAGAATTTCCCTTTCACAAAAGATTTGCACACGAGATGCCCGACGTTTGCAAATTTGAGTCGCTAACTTTTTTCCAATCTGATCGCAATCGACGATATTGACGATCGTTTATCACGCCGATCGCGGCGTGCCGAGAGCTATGTTCGAGCCTAGGAACATAATAATCACGACACGCGGTGAAAGTGTGCGAAAAGGAGTTCAGAAACGATGCCGACGCGCGCGCGGCAACAGTTGCGTGTAAAAGTACGTACGCGTCACAAAGCTGCGGCTTTGAGACAATGCCGATGAGAAACAGAACGAAAGAAAACGAGAGACGCGAAAGGCGAGGACCATGCTAAATTCCCCATTAGCGAATACACGCACACACACGCCTGAGAATGTCAATAATAACTGTCCCACCTACTGTCGAACTATGGAAATTACACGCGAAGGAGAAAACGCGACGGATAATGAGCACCGTTGTGGCACATATCACGGAATCGTGTGTATAAAGAAGCTTTATAACGTATATAAAGTGTCCTGAAAAAAGGTGTATTATTATTTAACGGAGTTCTATTCTTCTCTTTTGAAGAAAAGATTTAAACTCGGACGACCGCAATTCTAAATTTTCTACCTCTTGACACGATTTTAAACTGCCGTATTTTTTTTTCAACATAAAAAAGTACATCGAAGAGCGCAGCGTGCTTAAAAAAATTTTTCGGCCAAAATTTATTTCGGAAATCTTTCCTCTTCGACGAGATCTCTCGAACTTTCTCCGAATCTTTCGCGTTCTTACCAATTAACGTCACTTCACCTCGCAAGTTTTCTAATAAACTAAATTAATACACCGAAATATATACCACTTAGCGTACTTTCTGTTACATCGAGATGAAATATCGCAACGGATGCTGCGCGCATCCTGGAGAAACGTCGTCTCGTGATTTTACGAGACGACGGCGACGGCGGGCGCGATCGTTCGAAATTTCGCCGATGGCAATGTTTTGCGGTAACTGCGAATTAATTCAGAGCACGTTTAAGAGCCATCAACTGCCGCCTACTCGCGCGCATTTCCTTAAGCGCAGTAACTACCTGCCACGTTTATGATAATTAAGAAGCGAAGCGGCCATTCATAGCGAGAGAGCGTCATGGCCATCAGTCAGGATAATCGAATGTCACCGACGAATTTTGACAGACCAAATGCCGTGTCAGGATCCGCTGGTGATTAAATCCGTAGGACTTGATGCTTACTGGAATATTTATTGCGATGTCGCTTTTAAAACTAGTAATCCCCGTAATAATGTTGTATTATTAATTTCGGTACGAAATTTATCTTCTATTTCGACACGATGATTGATCGGTGGTTTTTAGATTAATAACGTAGATAATTATTTAAGTGATTGAGAGGAGAATGCTGTAACTGATAAAATCTGCGACAAGCATGTGTAATCCTGTTCGTATAAAATATTGCGTCAAAAGTAGGAGTTAATTTTATTTTTTATGATTTCGAAATACGTGTGTCATTATGAATTAATTGTAATTAAAGCATTGTATTAAAACAAACAAGATGATATTCATAATTATTTGTAAATATTGATTACAATTGGAAAGTGTAAGAGCTCGAATCTGAGCGGAAAAATGTTTGAAAATCTGAAATATCAAATTGTTATATTTATTATTTGTGCTTTGTGCGACAAATGTTTATTGTTAATGTCCCACTGCTAAAGTTTATAATGCACGTTTATTAAAGCCACACACGTGACATACTGCAATTATTAGACTTATTGCGATATAAGTCAATCTCTAGGCATATCATCCAGGCACTGTCATCGGCTAGACGTGAATATGTGCATCGAATAGATACCGATGCATTGTCACTTTACATAATGCGCCTCACGAATGATAATTATCGCGCTCGCTGTAGCGAGAAGAAAACATGAATCGGCGCGTTTCCGAAGCCGTGCCCGATCCGGTCGATGTTTCCATCGTATTTCCGCGTTTGGGCGACGGTTCATTAGAAGAACATCGCATGCGTTTATCCAACGTAGAATATCGATAGCGGGGAAAAGTCGCGTGTCCCCGTCGCGGCGCTTCCCTTTCCTGCTTTCGCCTTTGGAAACGTCGCATTAAGCGCGACTCGTCGAGGATTATCGGAGTTATGCAAAGGCCATCGATGCAATCGCGGAAGGACGAGCGAACGCCGTCCTCTATTTTGTTACGTGGCAAGATTTCCCAAGCTTCGTAAAGATCGATACGTAACGTATCGCTGTTTTTTTCTTTCACGCTTTCGCGATGCGAATTTACAAAATGTGTATTTTATTTGTGTGCAGGTGCAGAGGCTTGCCGATTACGAGAGGTACTTGGGAAGGGTACAGGAAGCGAGGAACTTGATAGAGAACGAATGCATCGACAGCGGGGCGGTTCTCCACCGTGGACAGTTAGAGGGCGACCTTCACCGCATTCAGGAACTCTTCCCCGGCGATAACTTACGGTTACACGAACGAGATGTCGTCACCACGGTACGATACTTTTTTATTTGATATAGAAATTTGATTTGAAGTTTGTCTTTTCGCCACTCGTACTGATTGTGACGCCACTGATTTAACAGTTGCCGGAATTTCGATAAAATTTCTCGCAAAATTCGACGTAGCGTATGAAAATTTATCCATAAAAAATATATTGCATAAGCTCTGTAGATTTTGCATCGTAATTTCTTTCGAAGAAGCAATTAGGATCTTAATTACAAGTGCGAGATGATAATAAAAACATTCGCTGCACGAAGTATTCCACTCTCATTTGTGGAAAATATATGACCAACCGACCGCTAACAAAAGATATTACGCACAATGCGTTGCAATTCAACCTTTCGCACGGTCGTACATCTGTTTTTTTTTTTCTGCGTCCGTGGAAAGTGCATCGACTCGCGTGTCGCTGGCACGGCAGTTGGAGCGCGCTACGCATTTCCTTCCCACGTTCATTCGCATCATCTGGGTACAAGCGTGCCGATAATTTCTTCCCGCTATTTTCACTCGGCCCGCTCGCTTCGCCATAGCTCGCTGACTGCTGCAAAACGGTGAAATTGATGCGAACCGTTCAATAGAGCGCTCGCTTTCTGCGTTCACAAAAAAATAGAAGCAGAGTAGAAACTGTGTCAAGAGACCGGCAGCGCGGTCGGCTTAGCAAGAGAACCATATTTATACTGTTTATGTAAAAAGGAAAAGCGTAATTGCATTTCTTTTATAATAATAACGAAATACACAAATTAGTATCCTAAAAAATTGTACATAGGAGCGTTTAACTTTTACTTTTAATCCGGCATGACAAAACATTATTTTGCAATAACGTTATGATTTGTTCTACCTGGACGACAGATATATTTCTGCCTCCTCTTAGTTTAAAATCTCATTCTGATGACAATCTTTCTATCTTCAAGACATTAGATATCGCGGAATACAAATAATTCTGTTTATCATCGAAATTATTCATGATGTTTGCATATTTCTTTATTCATTGAGAAATATTCACGTCTTTTATCCCGTGAAATGTTGGCGTTGCGGTATCGCTACCAAACTACCGTTTTAAAAGTCCCGGACGATGCACTTTCCAATGTAGCGCCGTAAATAATAATGGATAATCCATCGAACACATCGGATACGTTAAAATACAGTGTTTAATTCATGCTTTATGATGATGCGGCACAATAAGGCGAAGGCGGGTCACCGCCGGTGGGATCACCAGAAGTGATTTCGTAATGAGAAAGAGCGGAGAGAAGAATAGAAGGTGTTGGGACACGTTAGAGAGTCTAATAAGCCGGTATATGTTAATCAGTCCGCTTTATTCGCCGTGAGAGCACTTCGTATTTTCGTCCGTAACGTCTTAGATAGTCGCCGCTTGCCAGCCAAATTTGGTGGCGACATTTTTCGAGCGTAACTGTTAATTCTGTAGATGTGTAGCATGTGTGGATCAAACGCGACGGCAAAATTGGCACGATCCAAACAATGTGAAATCTTCTCCGCTCCGAGTCACGTGACAAAGAGAATCTTCAGATCTTATTGTCAGAGATAGTCGTTCGAATTTAGATTTCAGTATTCAAATAGAATGTTCTATTTTAGTGGTTTTTTATTTCCTCTTTCAGTGTTATATATGTTTTTATAAATTTTTATCACATGTTTTCTTTCTAATTAAAAAAATATCGAATTTATTAAAATATCAGCGCATATTATGTGTAACTTGAAAAAAGATTCTTTTTGAGAGTATCTCTAATTATTTATTCATGATTTAAGCAAATTAATCTAATTCAGCTGTTTTATTGTTTCCAGAAGATGAAGAATATATTGCGTAAAAGAAACAGCGGTACTCCAGTCAGACTGGCGAGAGGTCTTTCTCAGAAAAACTTGGACACTTCGAGTAGCTCTCCGCCTCCAAAATCGCCGGCTAGAACATTTCTCTTGGAAACATCAGTTCAATTCACCACGGTATATAAAGAACAATTTTTACCGAAAGCACTGTGAGTTTCGAAAAACAATTAAGATGGTGCAATATATTTGTATTATTTTAAATAACATTTCTCAAATGCGAACAGAAAAGTTCTTTATTTATATTGACGAGTGATTAATAAAACCGTCTTTATTCGAGACTTTAATCCAGAAATTGGCCGTCAATTCTAGGGTATGCAATCTCAGGAGAGACATCTCTTCCTTTTCACCGATCTCCTGCTGATCGCAAAAGCTCGCAACGGTGGGACGTTCAAACTGAAACAGATCGTAAGGATGAGCGAGCTCTGGCTGACGACGGGCCACATAGAGGACGTAGCGGAGACCAGCAAGTCTGCGGAAACTAGCTTCGTTCTCGGCTGGCCCACTACGAATGTTGTAGCCACCTTCATGTAAGCGAATCTATTTATCTTGCAAGTATTCCAAGAAGAGCGCGTGCATATAGTTGTATTGAAATGAAATATTGGAATATGGCGAAGAACTATTCGCCTAATTGAATCAACAAGCTTGAATTATTTGAGGATCTAAATCGTGTAATCAGCGTGGATCTTACTTTTCTAGGACCGCTGCGGCGCGCGATCTCTGGTGGGGACGCCTGAACGATCTCGTGCGAGAAGAGAGTATGAAAGAGCCGCCGCACACACACATTCAAGTCGTGTATCACGACAGCGACACGAATAGCGACTACGTAAGTGCGCCTGCCTTTTCACGCGCGCGCGCGCGCGCGCGGACACACTCGCGGTTCACGCCTTCGTACGGTCCATTCTTCGCGCATCCTCGAATCCGCCGGTTTCAATCGCTCGATCTTCCCCGATGATATTCTTCTCGGAGAGGCGCTTTTATGCGCGCGAACGTCAACGTCGAGTCGGGACTCGCCGTTCGCGGCCCGCCATCGAGCTCGCGCATTGTGCCGGCGTTAACTTCAGTCACCGTTCGTAATTCATCGACGTCGTATAGATATAAGCCGCTCGGATCGCAAATGAGTTTCCGTTAGATAAACGCTGTCTATCGTCGGTAAACAAGGTTCAGCGAGCGACGCGTCATATTATTCATTCCTTTATAACGTTGGAGGAGAGAATACACGCGTGTGTTGTTTCGTATTTTACAGTGCAAAACGATCCTGGTAGGCTCCGATATGACGGCGCAGACCTGCGTGAACGTGGCGATGCCGTTGTGGGATCTTCAAGGACCCTTCCAGCTGTGGGCCCGAACGTTCCCAGACGAGGCGCCGTATCCGCTAATAGGCCACGAGCGACCGTTCGCCGTGAAGATATCGAGCTTGCGGCACATGCTGTCGGCGGACGAGGGTTTTGACTTGGAGCACATCCACAAAAGCGGCGTCGATCTGTGCCACTTCATCCTGAGACCCGTGATGAAGACGCCAGCGAAGAAGAACAACCGGTCGAAGATAACCGGACTGTTGCGACGCTCACTCTCGCTGAATCCGAGTCTCTTCGGCGTGAATCTGTCGCGATTGGACGAGAACGGCTTGCCCAAACCTGTTCTGGTGATGCTGCAACAGCTGTTCGCGAAAGGCCCGTTCACGCAGGGTATCTTCCGCAAATCCGCCAACGTGCGGACCGTCCGAGAGCTACGAGATCAAATCGAGTCGACGGGAGATCCTAGTTGTCTGGAGGACGCGCCAATCATAGCGGTCGCAGCTTTGCTGAAGGACTTTTTAAGATCCCTACCGGATCCTCTCTTGACTTCCCATCTGTTTCCCCTTTGGATGGACAGCTTGGAGACACCAAATCCCGTGCAAACTATTAAAAGGTATTAGTCAGTGAAGACAAATTTTTGTTACATGAAAATTCGATATCTATGCTATTGTCATGTGTGTATATTATTGTCAAAATATTTATGACAAAAGGTGTAAAACTGACCGAAGAAAATTTTAGCATTTTAGATAGGCTGCCGAAGGCGAATTATACGTTACTCTCGCATTTAATCTGCGTGCTACACCATGTGGCGAGGCGATCGAAGCGTAATCTTATGTGCGCCAGCAATCTGGGCGTTTGCTGCGGCCCGAGTTTACTTTGGTCATCGAATCCGTCGGTGAACCAGAGCAGAGCAATCCCGACGATCACGGAGATGTTGATCCGTCACTGCGAGGATTTCTTCGGCGCCGGTGTCACGCAGCTCCTCGGAGAAGACACGCGTAGTGACAGCGGAGCCGAAGAGAGCACCGACAGTCTTCACTGTAAGTACTACGATACCGGTGTTGGAAAATGTTTAAGTGTTATAATATTACGAAATAAAAATAAAATTGAAATATTGATGAATTTCTTGTGGTGTAGCAGGTGGGATATCCCTGGATAGCTTAGACTTAACGGAGACACCGCGTAGGGATCCCATGTCCTTGTCAAGAGACTCGGGCTTGACCTTGTCAGACTGCCAATTATTCATACCGGAATCGCCCGTGGGCTCGGAGGATTCGGCACCGAACGCTTCATCGTCCAGTAATTACGATAAGCCTCTCGCCAAGGAGGAAAAGTCTAACGGCAAGCCCTACATGCCGGTTTATAGATGCGGATGGGAAGAGAGACTGAACGGTTACACGTCCGGCAGCCATAATCACGCGAATAACGCGGAGCACAGCTTTCGGGAGGAAAAGGCCAGCGCGTGTTTCTCCAGTGCGCCGTCTCAGCAGCCGTCCAACTTTCAGCGGCAGGATTGGCTGCGAGCGCAGTTGAAACGAACACCAAGGACGAACAAGCTGGACGAACATGAGCACAGAGCAAAGGAGAGATTCGGCGACAAGGACATGTACGATAGGGAGTACCTGAGACAGGACGCGATGAAAGAGAATGTGGAGAACTGCAAGACTTATCGGAGTAGACAGTTAACGGTGACTTACGATATATTATCGGAGGATTACGACAGTAAGAGCTCGCAACAGGATATCCGAGGCACCGAGCGGGTGCTGATGAACGATTCGGAGCAAGACCTGACCGGCGGCGCCGATACGCCGCTTTCCGGCAGCGATCGTTATGAATTCAAAAAGAAGGAGCGCTTTAGTGAATTTAAGAAAAAGGCCAAGTCCTCCGAAGTCCAGTACGTGAGCCTGGAGTCACCGATGTCGGAGAAGGAGCGCCGTCGCCAGACTCACGATCACGAAATGTACGAGGATTTCGTGAGAGTGAAGGCGATATACATGGAAGCGTTCAAGTACTGCAACGGCAAGGAATCGAACAACGAGTCTGAGAACAAAATAGACTACTGCGAGGACAGAGGTCGGTCGAGCGAGGTTTACGCAGACGCGAACGATTCGTACAAGAGCGTGATGATCGACCTTAGCGAAGACGAGCAAGAGGAACGGACGACATCGTGGCCGGACACCCCGCCGCCGTTGCCGCCGCGGCTCAGGCACTTGCCGCCGGTGCACATGAGCCTCGAGGACAGGCACAAGGCGGCAGGTAGGTCCAGATCGTTGCCACCGCCGCCGCCGTATCGTCCACCGCCGCAACCTCGCGCTCCCATCACCACGAGGCATCTGGGTTTCGGCAGATCCGTTGTCGACGATGAGAGCTACGTTTGAGAGCGAGCGGCCGCCTTGCAATTCATCGAAGAAAATCCTCACATCATTATCTATCTTCGGCGTGTATAATGTCCGAGTCGTAGGATTCGCTTACGACGACTTAACCTAGTCCAAACTGAAAACTTGCGTAGTAACGAGAATAATGAGGAGACCCGACGGTGGCATGTGAATGCCACCGCCGTCGCGGTTCTTCTTCAGAAATGACGAATATATTTATCGTCCTTCGATCAAACTTAAAAATAGCGAGACGAATAAAACGAAACGAGAGATGGCGAAGTGGAATTTGCTGTCTACTTGTGACCGTCAACAATTTTGGCCTGTATTCCCGTTGCGCTGTTCAGTTTAATGTGTTCATTCGGTTTTCATTTTTACATTTGTTACTGAATTTCTTTTATACGCGCGGATAAAATCTCAATTTAAACGATCGTATTTAGTGCTAAAACGAGAATACGGGCCTGTTACTGTCATTCAGTGATACAGGGTGCTTCCACGAGCATTAGTTCATACTATCTTAGTAGGCTTAGTATTCGTATTTAGGTTGCTAAGTGTAATCTAAATAATGGACAATATTATGATGATACGAGTAATTCTTTCTTCACGTAAAACAATAACGTTTGTAAAAATATTAATAACAAAAATTATTTTCTACAAATGTCGATGAAATTTTGTAGAAATACAATCCGAAATGCTGCCTATTAACAGCGCATTAATAGCTACAACAATGCGCTCGAGGAGTATGTAATATTTTGCAGTGTGTTTTATAGCGAAAGATCTTTTATTCTCGTGAATCGTTTTTAACAGACATACATTCTGCGGATCGAATGCACTTTCTGTCGACATTGATGTGACAGTGCATGTGTATATTTTAAATTTGTGAGAGGAGCGAGGACCAGTTGCGAGGGCAATATCATTAGAGTTCCGCGTGAGAACTCAAAAGTAGATTCGTCAAGAATTTTGTAAAATATCTTATTTTGCACACTCGTAACTGGTGCTATTTTGAAATTGACTTTAAGTTTACGAAAATTCAGCCTTTTTCAGCATCCAATTCTTTTTTTTAGAACCAGCTCTGTAAACAACAATGCGTTCGCGTAGCTGTATTTTTTAACGAAATCTTAGTGACGGAATCATCATTTTTTCAGATGTTCTTTTCCGCGCACGTTCGTCAATTTCCTCTTACATTTACATCGAACGGGAACGAATTTTCCCGTAATTAACAATGTTTTGTTTCTGACAATTGAAATATGATTTAGAAACAGGATATTTTGTGCGTGGATACAAGTGCGATAATCTTAACTGTTATAGGATGCAAGAAATATATTGGAGTGTTACTACGCGACCAGCCTTTCTTGTATATATTAAACTACAAAATGTCATCTCTTTTCTTTCGCTAAACATATGATACGATGTGTAACACGTATAAGATATCTACACATATCTAAATTATATGTTAAAAATGCTATAAAAGCAAATATATATTTCGTATTTTATAAATCTATTGGTCTTTCTCTATCCTTTTCACCGAAGAAAAAAAATTTTATTTTACATGATTGTATTTAATAAATAAAAACTAATTAATTACTCATTTCTACATTATATATTATATGTAATATATTGTCGAAAATACTTTTCTATCAATGTTCTAGAATAAACAAAGTACAGTAGAGATTCAGGAATATTAGATTTGAAACCTCAAAAAAATATAGATTTATTGTTGATAAAAACTAAAATATAGAGAAATATAGAAATCAAATTTTAAGATTGGTTTATAATTTTTTAAACATATTTTTTCGCTTGGTGCGGCTCAGGAGCCGTGGAGCCGCGTAGAAAATATTGCATCAATGAATCGAAGTGCAGAGTTCCGCTGAACGTCTACATACAGCGCTGCCTTATGAACTAAAGGTACGTTCATGTTGGAGCAATGATAAAGGCTGCGTTATACAACATACGTAACGTAAACTATAGATTTCCAGCTGGCAGTGAATTTCGAAACGTAGCTAAACCTTAGATGTATAGCAATGTATAGAGTTTAGCAGTTTAATAAAGTTAATTCAAAATAAACAACATGTCACGAATTTTTCACAAACTATTAAATACAACGTATCATTTTAGAAGCAATAAATTTATGCCAATTTCCATAATAGTAAGAAATATGGGTAACGTTATCATCTATTTAAAATGTTTATTTACGTAGGTTAGATTACTGTTTTCTGATGTTTTCAAATGTGTTTTAATGTGTAATTAATGTATGATGTGTATATATCATGTACTACATGAAGTAATTTGACATTTGCAGCCACCGTGAAACGATTTTATAGAAAAACGAATATACTTTTAAGTGGTGACAAGTTTGAAATCGTTCTGGATCAAAGAAAGCTGAAGACACCGAAAGGTAGGATATTCGAAGTAAACAGTAAGCCCCTGGCTCTAGCAGTGGCAGCTGAATGGGATGCGCAGAAAGAAATCATTGACAGAGGAAGTATGCACTTGGTATGTATAGGAAATTATCAAACTACCTTGGTTTCCATTGCTATCTGATATCTAGCATCTTATTTTTTTTTTAATATAACAAAGATCATGTTTAATGTCATTTTATTTATACGATTGCATTTAATATAATATAGTAAATTTGCTCTGAAATCACAAGCACTTTATATTGCCATTCATGCGTCACATGTATCTCTCATCATGTATTTGATTTATAAAAGTTTATGTATACATACGATAAAATTATTCTGTTACAGACATCTTTATGCAATACTGTGTTAGATAATCCAAATAATTATACCAAGATAGACCTGGTTAATCATATAGTGAACTGTTTAGAAATGGATACAATTTTATTTTACTCAAGTGTAAGAAAGTGTTTGTACAAATCTTTATGTCTCTTTGATATAGCAACGTAGTAATATGATATTTTTTTACTACAATTATTTTTGTGATTCTAGGAGGTGGATGAACTGTATCAGTTACAAGTTGAAAAGTGGGAGCCTATAGTTTGTTGGTTTTGTAAGCATTACAATGTGGATATTGCGAGAACTCAGAGTATAGAGGCACCTACTGTGTCGATGGAAACTAAAGCTGCATTAACGAGGCATTTATTGTCGCACAATTTTAGTAGTATTTATGGTAATAATATAATTTTATTTTAAAAAAAGATGAGATCGTGTACATATTAATTACTATCTGTAAATAGGCCTTGTGTATGCAGTAGATGGGTTGAAATCAGTCATTTTAACTCTCGCTACAACTGCAAGAGTTATTAACATCTCAGAAGCGGTAAATCTTTCACGACTAGAAGAAGAATATCAGGTATGGATATCATTTTCTCGATTAATTCCTGACAGAAATGTCAACAGAAATAGCTTCTGTTCTCTGCTGTTTATGAATATGGTGATTGTGAGATATTTTCATTATATATTATTACTATTATATTTTTCACGCACAGATCTCTCACTGGGGCAATGTTGAATGGCATCACGAGTACAGCAAACACGATTTGCAGGCCCGTTTATCAGCGGCGATGTTATTTGTTTATTTGAACTCTCATTCTGCCACTTCACGACCCAAAAATGACACCCCTGATGTAAGCTAGTCTTATATAAATTATTATTAAAGGGCTATTATGTCAATAGATATAAAATTTGCAAGTACAACGTGTTCATTCTAATATAATATCATAACATCAATGTTGATTAATTACTCCCATGGCGCTAATTAATAAGAAAGGGAGAAAATTCTCCATGTGCAGCCAGAAGATTCTTCCTGATTGCAAATCAAATTGGAATGGAACAATCAGGTCCGACCCATTCTTTTGTACAAATGCAGCTGAAAATGAGATACGGAATTGCACATGTAGATATATGGCTTTTCGATATTTTATCTCTCTGAGAAAAAGCGCAATTTTTCGTATATTACCTGTATGATGCTCCATGATGCAAACACACCGCGCCATTCTTGCATGAATGACGAATGCATTCGTTGCGATTGCATTCACCCACGCCACGACCAGTGGCAGGACTGGAGCCGGTGAGCGGAAGTATCGACGTGTCTGTGCGCAATTCAACGTCGAATATGCATCCGGAAAAGCCGGTATGGAGAGGCAGATCGTGCGGCAGTGTATCGAAATTTTTGGATTTGTAGCCGCCTGTAAAAAATATTTCTTTGTTTTTTTTTTTTTTAAACCACATTGAATGCTAAATGTCGTGTCATTCCGACTTTGTTATCCGATGTTAAAATCACATTAATTTCATATGTGTCTAACGAGAATTGAACGATTACGTTTGGTTTGAAATATGCGATGAAAGATGACGTATTGACATTGCGCCAAATACAAAATTGCAACAACCGTACCGATATAGAGAACGGGCGATACATCGAGCTGAGTCATAGATCCAATCGCCTGACCAGTCACATTGTTAAGACCTTCTACAGCGAGCCACGCGTCTTTGCCTCTTCTTCCAATTCGAAGGGTGTACGTTTTACTTTTACCAGCCGACCCCGCCACGCTTAGAGAGTCCAGTGAAGAATTGGTGAAGATTCTACGCACTCCTATTAAAAGATTATGAAAAACAATAGAATTTGAGAAGTTTAAATATAGCTGTAGGTTTATGCCAAGATAATTTATATACAGCTAGAGTTGTACACAGAAAGTTTAAAGTGTCTATTATCCAAATAATCACTCATATAATTATCTACATTATATATAAATATTCCGTCAGTAATCTACGTCGAGACAATTCGTTTTCAGCATTCAATTCGAACTTCAACATTTATTGTCACTCACCAGAGCCCAAATCCCACGTAAGCATGATGTAACCGCGCACAAATGTTACCGAGAGATGATCCGAGACGTCGCGACGCGCGCCTCTCTGTCCGAAGTACGCTATCAGGGAGATTTGATCGAACGTGCGAGGGATGAGTCGCAGCTTCAATTCCATCGTGTCCTTTATCGAAGTCGGCACGCCGTAAGCGATGTACGATGCGAAACCGGGAACGAGAACCGAGAAGGCCGGTCGCACTAGAATAGCATCTGAACCAACGAGTCACTTTGTAGCATCTCTCTGCTTTATGGAATATTTGTTAAATGGTTTTTCGGCTACAAACTTACCTTCGTCGCACAAAAGCCCGTGACTGCCGAGCGGGCAAACGCAGATGAAACCAGTTCCCGGCGAACTTACGCACGTCGCACCCATCGAGCAAGGATTGTCGTTGCACGCCGAATGTTCGCACAAAGGCCCGGTATAGCTACAAATAGTATTTGTTGTTAATTATTAATTTTTATTAATCTTATTAATCAAAGTTAAAAAGACTGATCAGACTGATTAGTATAAACATTGTTTATTTCTTCTACAATATTAATTTAACAATATTCCGTTTTACTAGACGCATTTAAAAATAATATTAAAAAAGGAAATTTTTAGATAAAAAAATATTTACCCCGCTATACATCTGCAGCGGATTCTACCATCACTCTCTTCGCACGCGCCGAAATTCTGACACGGATTCGATAAACATAAGAATGATGTGCATTCTTCGATTTGAAATGTTTCTATGGAATCGTGAATGAAGTGTCGAGAAACGTTGTTCACCTACAATTTTTGTCAGAAATAGAAGGTAATTCTGCATCTCGTTTATATAATGATATAAGCTAACGAAGTAGAACTTAATATTCTGAATAATATTAGAATATACCTTCAGAGAATCCATACAGCCAATGAATCCCATGGCTACGTGCGGGAAATAATGAGAAAATGTTAATGGGATGCCTCCTATGTACAAATTGGCATGTTTCGGGACCATTCCTCGTTGTGGCAGTATTTGTTCGCCGGTCACGGCCATAGTGCCGTTGACCAACAGTTTGGCAAAACATTTTTCGCTCTCGTCATTGGCAACATAATGAAAGCTGTAGTCGAAAAATACATCAGTATTTTTATACGCAAACCGAAAGAAAATTGATGTCTAAGATTATAAATTTTTTAATGTTCAGTAATTCGGTGAGAAGAATTTGTGGGTTTATTGTGAATTAAGATTGAGAAAATAATCGATTGCAAGTGATGTACCTCATATCAATGCCCACTTCGAATCCATTATCAATGAGAGCATCGATTTCACCGAGCAACATAGTTTCGAGACCGCAGGAAAACTGGAACTTCAACGATCCAAGTTCCAGATATACCAAGGAATATCTCTCGTTGTCGAAGTAAACGTGCAGTATTATTCCATTCTTAAACGCCGTTCTAAGCTTCACATAAATTCGGAGGGTTGCGTTCTTGTTATCGGTGATTATTACTTCGGCGCGTTGTCTGACGAAAGACTTGCCGTTAAAAGCCGCCTGAGTAATAGTCGAATCAGTCTTGCAACCGTCGGCGTACTAAATAATAGTTATAAATATATTAATTATAATGATTACGCGTGCTTAAAATTATAAAAAACAAATATCTTGATAAAAATTTATTTTAACGTCTATTAAAGTCTATTAAAATAATCCAGATTATTCTAAGAATAAAAAATAAACGAAAGACTTGATATGTTTAAAACAACAGCCAATGCATATTTCATTTAAATTTTTCTTAAATTATTTTTAATGATTAACTACTTTCTTACTTCGGTGACATTACGCGCAGGCAACGTCGTAGTGCTCGTGGAACACTGATTCCCGCGGCAAGCGCTGATTTCTGTAGCGTTGACTTCAGCGTCAGTGGTTTGGTTTAACAACAAGGATACACTAGTGGACGTTAATGGGGAAGATACCGCGGGAGTGTCGAATCTCACAGTCGAAGGCAACACTGATGGCAGTGTCGATGAGGTAGTTAGAGATAAAACGGTTCTGGGCGAATCCGCGATCGTAGTTTCCAAAGAAGGTTCGAAGGTTCTATTCGGCGTCGATTCTGTCGTATAGCGAAACGTTGCATTGGAGAATGTTACATCGGTAACGCGATCCACGATAACACTTGTAGTCGCAGTGGTCCTTTCATCCTTTTGGCCTTCGTCTATCATTGTCGGTCGATGGCTAGAGATGGAATGTTATAAAATCATAAACGGTTTGTGTATTCATGTAATTAAAAAACAGCCAATTACTGTTAAAATTGAAAGAAACAAATATATAAAAGCACGTTTAATCATGATCATCATTAATTACGATCAAATATGTAGATTTCAATATCCTCTAAACAAGAATCGCAATATTCTATTTACCTGGAAGTCGCGTGTTGCGTTACACGCGTTACGTCTTCATCCGTTCTCTCGGAGACCGACGGTTTCGTCATCCGATCATCGGGTTCTTTGGTGACTTCCTCATCGTGGATCGATCTTCCGGTTGGGAAGTAAACTTCAGCGCTTGCCGTGTCAGTTACGTAGCTTTCGGTGGTAGCCGATGACATCGTTACGGGCTCCGACGTAACAAGATCGTCCCGAATCACATCTTTACTAGTCGCGGAACTCGTTGACGGAACTTCGGTGAGAAAGCCGCTATCGCTACTAGGAGAACCCTCGTATTCCGTAGTTGTCTTCTCCACGAGAGTGTATCTCCTCGTGTAAGGCGAGCTGCTCGTTCGCGGCGAAGTCGAATAAGCGACGAAGCTGGTGGTGGATGTCGATGGCGGAGACACAGAGGTGTCCACTAACAAAGTCGAAGCTCTGGGTGAAGCGACAGTGGTCACCTTAACTGGACTCGTTTCCCGCTCGGATGTGCCCTCCACTTCGGCAGTGGTCGTCGAGGAAAAACTGTGCTCGCACATGGGACCGCCGTAATTCGGCGGGCAGGAACAAGTAAAACTATTGATGCCGTCGATGCAGGTGCCTCCGTTATCGCAGCGGGCGAATTTCGACTCGCAGTCATCGTACTTCAGCTCGCACAGAGCGCCGTGATAATCCGGCACGCAATAGCAAACCGGATGGTCGTCTTCCAAAAGACACACCGCTCCGTTTTGGCAAGGATTCTCGTCGCATGGCACGACTGCTTTCTCGCAATCCTTACCAGTGAAACCTTTGAGGGAGAAAATATATAGTGATTATTATAATAATACAACAGGTGACTTGGCCGTTGATTAATTTAAACATCATTACTTTTTTAATTTGTCAAGGATCACGCGCTAATAAAATAACAGCAAGATCTTGATGATTGTCAATTAAATTACACCTGTCATCGATTTTGTTATATTAATTTATCGGTAAGCGGCGTGATGTGTAAATTCTTATCATAACTCTTTAGATATTTTACTATTTTCAAAAAATCTGCGATCCACGTATTAAAATATTTTGCTTACCAAATAAACAAGCGCAGGTATAAGAAGCTGGAATATTGATACAGAGACCACCGTTTTTGCATGGCGACTCCAAGCACTCATCAATGTCCACATCGCAGAGGATGCCAGTCCATCCTTTTCAAATTATAAAAGTTATGAATACACAGGAAAAACGAAATCATTAAAATAGAATAAAAAGTGAAAATATTTTCCGTAGATATCCAATAATTCTACGCATTTCCTACCTTCGCGGCAACGGCAATAGAACGAGAAACCAGGCCCTTCGACGCACTCGCCAGAATTTTTGCATATCGTATCGTTGCAAACCGAAACGTCGATTTCGCAATAATCTCCTAAGAAATCAGACGGTAAAAAACGTGATAACGTGGAAGTAAAATCGTCATTATGCGCCATACCTGAGTATCCATCCGGACATTGGCAGGTGACGCCATCGTAATCGACGCAGGTGCCATTGTTGAGGCACGGATGATTCGAACATTCGCTATATCTTTGCTCGCAGTTCACACCTAATTGTCAATCAAAAGAAAATCGCCATTTATCTTGTGATTCTTTTCTGTTAATTCATTGACAAAAGCGACAAAAAAGTGAATTACCTACGAAACCGTCAACACACGTGCAATTATACGCAGCGACCCCGTCGTTACACGTGCCGCCGTTGAGGCAAGGGTCCGACCAGCATTCGTCCCAATTAATTTCGCAATTGATTCCCGTGTAACCGTCGATGCAATAGCAAGAATAAGTACTGCGATGAAAATATCACGGAAATAAGCAGACCATTCTATATAATTTTATATATCTATAAATTAATTCATTGTACAAGTACAAGTTAAATCTTTAACGATATAAGCATTTATAAATATTTGCTTGCCATAATAGCAATCATCCATCGAGTTAAATATAACTCTATCATGCACTACACCTTTCTATCATATATTTTCTGCAAAGTTCTGAGAATATTTAAGGAATCATAAGTGCTTTTCGCTATATCGCTCTATATTCGCGTGATCTATCATACGTTCAATGAAATTACGGTCTTATCGGATTATCAAGATGCGTGCTCGCAAGCGCACAGTCATGTATGTTACCTGTTCTCGTTGTCCAAACAGATTCCGTACATGCAAGGGTCTCCGCTACAATCCGATCCTAGTGCAAACGCCGTTATCGTCGATAGTACTATTAGAATAAAAATACTTTCACGCGCGGTCCTCGTAGATGGATAGTAACTCCGCTTATAAGCCAGCCTAAGTAGCCTTACATACCTTTACAGCATGATTATATAGCATGATACATACATATGTGTCGATTTATCGCTAATGTGTGGATGTACGATGTATGCCGTGGTGCCAATGTGTACATGTATGTGTATGCATTATGTCGCGTAACACGCACGATTGGAAAGCCTTCATAAAAGCCTTCTTAAACAAGGGATAATAATTCGCCTCATAACGGATAATCTTGCATACAATCCAAAAATACAATACACAAAATACATTTTACATATCAATTATAAACAATATTTGTAGTTTCATTGAATTCATTAATTGGCTGAAGGAAATATTTTTTTATAGGGAACAATTAATTATTAAAGAAAGAAATGTCAAGTGGCAAATAACACAAATTGCAATATTAATTATTTGTTGATAAAAAAAGATTAATGTATTTGTATCAGAATGTTTGGTGGATTTAAATATCTATAATATACAGGAAATTAATACGTTGGAAATGAATGTAACTCTCTTGGCAATAATAGAAAATAGCAACGAAAACAACATAACGAAACCAAGACGGTTTCGAATTACGTCACCGTGCCAATATTCGTCCGTGACCTTTCTCGGGAAAATTCGGCGTTGCGTTGTGAGTTAAAACGCGCCGCAAAGAATCAGTTACACTTATGATCGCTAAGAGAGAATGCCATACAACTCCTAAAGGGACTAAAAAGCGGAACGGATGGAGGATGGATGGGGACCAGCCGAATGGACCGCTCTTTTCTATTACCTTCCCATATCTGTGCGACGGTTGGACAATAAAAAAAGGGAAAAACGCGAATCGTCGAAGAACACGGCACTTTCGACAATCTGTACACGGTATGGTATGCCGCATATATCGCTAGCGCGGCATATATGTATATATACGTTGTATTGTACGTTGTTCAAGGCGATGCCGCTCACGATATCCCGTCGACGACAATGACAACTCAGCCGTAGTCCTTAGCAACGCGCGACCATACAAATAGCTGTTACACGCCGGATACGCTTGCGTGAAGCAGTTGTGTCGATATTTAATTCCAACTTTATAAATAATACTCGGCAGGGGATAATAATCTTAGTTTTTCCTACTTTCTCCGGAACTTATGAGCTCGTAGAATACATTTACAACTTGCAAACTCAAGAGTGTATATCTCTTTTGATTCATATTACTATCATTAGCGGCAGCAATTTTATTATTATTGATCTTTTTATTGTAGTAAATAATCATAGACTGTATGGTTCTCTGTTGACTGCAATTGTACAACACGCAAAATACAAAGCATACTTTAGTTCAAAAACTAAAGTATAGAACAGGCTGTTTAGCTGCACTGTAAAAAAATTCGATAAATTCAGTCAGATTTATTTTAAAAGTCCGAAATTACTTATTACAGCTCAATATTATATATAGAAATATATCTATAACTAAATATAAAAAAACAATTAATAAAAAATATTTATTTTTTTTCTATCGAACTTGCTACGAAATAAAAATAGAAAATTACATGTAAATAACGGAAACACTTAATAAATATTGCAAATTTATATAATTGCGTACATTTTACACTAATTTTTTAGTACATTTCTGTTAATTATTATTTATTATGTAATTTTTGCATTATATTACTATAAATTTATTGAATTTTTTACAATATAAATAAGATTTATTTAGAAATCTAAAGTCATCTTAGTCATCTCGTAAAGCGAGTAAACAGATAAATATGTAGGTAATTTGGCCACTTTTCGATTTCGATTTGCTGCCAAAAGCACAATTCTATTTTAAACTAACAGTTATAATAAGAACACTACTCTACGAGCAGTGTTATTTGCGTGCTTTTAACATCGGACATATTTTACGGTTCTTCAACTGCAAAATATTAATTTCGACCTTAATTACGTAATTCATTCATAAAACGATCCACAGTTGTTACGAAAACCGAAATGTTCTTGCTCTTCAGACACCGATTCACGCGACGTATATCAACGCCTATCTAAGGACGTATATAAATATCCGCATGCAATAATGCTGCTTCATAAACTCGTTATCAAGTCCAGTGGTCTTCGTGCGTCTTTATCTTTCCGAAGTTGAATCTTAGAATTAGATCTTTCAATTAAAATATTTTAGAATAGATTTATGAATATTTTTCATAACAATACGAAATTGAAATCGTAAAAAAGTAACGAGAGAAGAACGTCTGCTTTGAACAATGCGTTGCAAGATGTTTTTCTGAAACCGATCTTCTATTTGCGTTATTTACGTGGAAAATTTTCCGGTCGTCAAAACAAAATTTCTAGATTCGCTCCAACAAAACGGGCAAATGAGTGCCGTGTTAAAACGATACACTTCGCCCGATATAAAAGAAGAGGAAACAAACATTGCACATTCTATTTCGACAAAGTGCTTTCACGATCGAGATGGAACCGCGTGAGACGGAAGAGTTGCTCAAGGCCCACTTGCGGGAGAACGATCTCCAGCGAGATGAACCTTCGTGGACCCATCGGTCGCTCTCCTCTGGGAGGTCGCGGCATGTTCGCCGCGCGAGATATCGCGGTCGGCGAGCTGATCTTCACGGACGCCCCGCTGCTGATAGGGCCGCGATGCTACAGAAAATATCTGCCGATGTGCGCGGTCTGCTACAAAGACAATTGTCCTCTGTTTCCCTGCGATCGCGGCTGCGGCCTGCCGATCTGCTCGGCGGAATGCGAGAACTCCGCGGCGCACGTGCAGGCCGAGTGCCGGCTCTTGAAAGAATGGGCACCGACGTGCGGTTCCGCCTGGTCCAAGGACCTGTTACTCGCGATGGTACCGATACGCGGTCTTACATTGTCAAAGCGGCAGCGCAAACTCTTATACGTTTTCGAGTGGCACTCGAACCATATTCGAAGTAACGAGGTATGTTTTTTCATTTCATTTGTTTTACTTTGATGCGCAATATTCCACAAGTTTCCACCGCAAACATCTAATTTTATAGAAACCAGCTACATTTTTGTAATTAGTATCTCGGACCTTCTCCCTTTAATCTTTATACAATTCTTCATTATTTCCGTAATTTATTATCTAATTATATTACTTTAATTATGAATGTGTGATTGATTCAATTTTCAGAAATACTAGTTTAATATCTTTTTTATACGATATCTGAAAAAGAAATCGAGTGATACCTTGAATGCAAAGTTCATCATCTTCTGCAGATCGAGTTGCTCAAAAGAAACGTGAGTAATCTTCCGAGCGAGGAGCAGATGGAAGTCATGAGACGCATTTGCGGGGTCTTTAACACGAATTCGTTCGAAGTCGTCGTTCTCAAGGACGAGGATCACATCGTGAGCCTGCGTGGCCTTTATCCGACGGGCGCGTTGCAGAATCACTGCTGCGTGCCGAACACCAGGCACCACTTCGACGATCAGCAGCGACTGCACGTGAGCGCCGCGCTGCCCATCGCCGTCGGCGAGGAGATCACCATGTCCTATACCGATCTGCTGTGGGATACGTCGAGCAGGAGGCAGTTTCTCAAGGCTACTAAACACTTCTTCTGCGACTGCAACAGATGCTCCGATCCCACGGTACGTCGACCGCACAAGGATTCCTTTCCTACGAAAATCGCGCGACTACTACACGGAACGCTATCTCTATCTAGGAATTTGGATCCCGGCTTGGAGCGCTTTTCTGTGCGAGAGACGATTGTTCGGGACACCTGTTGCCTCACAGTCCTCTCAGTCGCGAGTCCTCTTGGATCTGCGACAAGTGCCGGACCAGCGTGAATCGCAGACAGGTGATATCTGAAAGTTGAAATGTGTAACTTTACTATTTTTGGACGCAATTAAAATAGTTACCGCAATTGTGTTTTTTCTTCACGCACAGATATACGGCTTCTTTTGATTTCTGCCCTAGCGTGGTTCAATAAATGTGAGATTTATTATTTTTACAGATTGAATGCATTCATTCGGGATTAAATGCTCTTGTATTCGACGCTATGTATAAGAGTCCGCGAGAAATTTTAAAATTTGTAGAAACGGTGTTATCGAAATTGGTACCCGCTGCTAATCACGTCATGATGGATGTTAAATATCGTATAATCTCGTATTTTGGCAGAATTCCCGATCTTAAATGGAAAGGTAAGACGTCACACTATATTTTCCACATCTATGCACGTTCTCAGAATTATTTGTGCGAGATTTTTATTACTTTTGTGACGTATATACTGTGTAATAAATTGAATTTATTTCAGATCTCACCAATGTAGAACTTAGAATTAAGAAAACATATTGTAACGATATACTTTCTGTTTTGGACACTTTGAATTCTGGAGATTCGATTAAAAAAGGTAACATAATGTATGCGTTTTTTCACATCATCAAAATTTTTATAAAGTGACTTTTTGTGTCAAAATGAGAAGTATAGAATAAGAAGATTAAATGGAAAATTGTTTTTTCTTATATATATATAAGATAATTTTTTAATACTTTCTTTTAGGTCTCGTTTTATATGAACTATATCGTACAAATCTTGAATTGTATAAACGCCAGATGTCGAAGAATAACAAAGAAGGGACACATATAAAAGTATGAGAAACAGTTTACGCTTATTATTGCACATCTTAATTATTGTCTTAATTTTTTGTCTTTTAGGATGACGATAATGAGCACTTATTATGGAAAGCAATGAGTATATTACAGAACGATGTTGGCGCGGCCTGTGTTCGCAGAAGTGATTAACACAAACTGACATCGCTGAGAAAAATCACATTTATTACATTATTCGACGTTTCTGGATGGATGTACGTAATATGTGTGCATAAATATATTATAACAATAATAAAGAGACACATTATTCTGTATTATAATTTTCACAGTCTGATTATCTGATTCCGTGCGTTAATGCACGACATATATATATCATATAATACAAAAATTTGTATACATATACCATTATCATGATAAAATGCACATAAGCACATATTAATCTGACCAAATACGTATTCAATAATCACGATTAAACACGAAACTTTGCGCAATATGCGCAAAGACACATCAATCTTTATCAAAGTGATAGAAATTCATTCAGGCGGAAATTGTATTTAACTAACAATTAGATCATAGAGTCATATCGATTAGAAGACAAGATGTAATAAATTTATTACATCGCGAAATAGATTATTGAAAAAGGTAGTAAATATGTACATACTTTTATAGTCGACATAAAGAAAATGATTGTTTATAATTTAAAGTATCACATTTTCATACTATTTGCTGTAACAAACATTTCGCTTCCTCATACAAAGCAGCATTTGGCTTCAATGTTTCCCAATCATAGTCCACATCTTCGTTATAACTCGCATTATTATTTCTACAACAAAATTCCATTCTATTATGTTACAATAAATACTAGAATATTGTAAAATGTTGAAGATATTTTGCAAAACTATAACATAAAATGAATGTTTACTTTCAAAACAATAAATTTCGCACAACTCACCTGTACAAAGAATCGTCCACAGTATGCATCGCGCCATTGCCCAAATCTTGTAGCAATCGATTTCGCGCAAGTGCCGTATGCATTAAGGCGATATTATCAAGTAAGAATTCTTTATTATCTATAAAAAGATCCAAAAATATTGATCTGTGAAATCTTATTTATATTTTTCTTTTCAGCAAAATTGTACGAAGCACTCACCATTCTTCTCATATTTTTTTAGCAGTTTTTTCATGAAATCTTCACCAGCATATTTTTTAGATATACCGATTCTGTAGAAAACAGCTTTACACTGCCATCGATTCGTCGAGTTTTGATTGGATGGCACAGCTCTTCTCGCTTGCGTTTCCTTCACAAGAGATTCCCAATCGACGCCTAAAGCATCGCCTAATCCTTTGCCGCTCGTTTTAATGTCTTCTTCTAGTTCACCGTCAGAAATTTCTTCAAAGTCCATCGTCTCCATATTATCGTCCTCCATATTTCTATTAAAATATGATCACGTGTAAAATTTCTAAATTAAAACTTACATTTTAAATATTTTTCCCATATAAAACATGAATAATCTAAAATTAAAATTTAACAAAAATAATTACATTCATAAAATATGCAATTGCTAAAAATAATTATATTTTTACAAAACTATTAATTTGAAATGACTTCTTTCATAAAAATACGTTGTCTCAAACATTTTGCAATGTACAATATATCTTACTTCAATGACACCATATCGGCATTATCCTTTGACTTGGAACTGAAGATAGTTTCTTCCATGGATTCTTTCGGAGAGAGCTGTGTTGGCTCCTGTGCGGCCAACTGCGCATCGCGGTGAACAGCATCCGGTGCTTTTTTACTTATTCGTGCTTTACTAGTTTCCATATCCTGTTAATAAATTATAGAAACTCGTGAAGCATTTTATTGCAACAAAAATAAATAAAGATGGATATAGAATATTTACCGTAGTATCTTCCTCCATGTTCAATATATCGTCAGGATCATCACTAATATCACTCAAATCGCTCTCAGTGTGAAGAGTTTGCAAGGATTCATCGGCAATGGGACGTTTCGGTTCTGTCAGGATCGGTTCCTTGATTTCAGGCTTCTCCTTTTGCGAGTTCTTTTTCTGGAAATTGTCCGTTGATTTTTCTCTAGGAGTTGCGCACGATCTGCCTTCGGCGAGTTCCATCAGCTTCTTATTGATAGGTTCATCCTTCATACTGCCGTAAATAGCAGCCTGTTTAGCGGAAGGATGAATTGTCGGCTCTTCTCTTGCCTCCGGCGCATTATACGATCGTCTTTTGCTGAAGGGATTAAAATTTTAATTAATAACATTTAATTAGTATAAAAATTCATCGTCGGCTCAATAAATTTTATTTTAATTTTAAATTGATTTTAAGACCATTTGAGGACTCATTTTATTTGAATTGTAATACCAATGTTTACCTATGTTGTGCAGATTCTCCGAGCTCCAAGTCCTTCGAGCGCTCGTTTCTATAATGCGATCGAACATGCACATTCTGATTATCCCACTTCCGCGCATCATTGGGTTTCCAATCAGATATAGAATTGTCGTATCGGGAATTCCACTCGTCATCGTGTATTTCCGAGCGTGGAAGACTGTCTCTGCCTTCCCACAACGATCTCGTGCGCCATTCGCGCTCCTCCCATTCCACCGTTGGATAACCTCGGTCTCGGCCGTGCTCTACGTCGCGATGGTGTCCCTCCCAATCTTCATTAGAAACATTTTCATCTCTAATTGTCAAAACAATGAAGAAAAAAAAATAATATACTTTGATAAAATATTCTCTTCAAAATCTTTTTCCATTTTTACCGTATCATTTATATGAATGTTTGCGTGTAAAAGAAACCCGAAATAATAAAAACTACAGCTCTATAATTATCAATTTGCAATTTTTGCTTCAGTTATAATAAAAATTAATGTATTAAAATAACAGTACACTCATATTTCTCTCGCTGAAAGAAAATAAAAAATAATTCAATATTCTCGTCAATGTAAATATCCCTTTTAGAGTAACAAAAAGATTAAGAAAGAAACTTCATTTGTCGCATGTTAATTGTTACCTAATGCCAACTCCGGCGCTTCTCATTTTATCGCCCGGATAAATAGGATGTCGATGATGATGGTGATGGTGACGGTGATCGTCGAAGGACGTTCGCTCCGTAGTCTGAATGACGTATCTCGATTCTCTGGTGCGTTCCTCGCGAGCAACGCGTCTTTCCTCGAAAGGGCTGTCGTATCTCCTGCCCTCGACAGTCTTCCGCCTGTCGTCCTCGTGAATGTGAGCGTGATCTCGATATTCCACGTGGGAGGACGATTCCTCCTGCTCGTCCCAATGCTCCGGCATTCTGCCGTAATTCCTACCGAAGTTTCTGTCCACCTCCATGGCTCGTCGCGGGCTGCTCGTGTCCCGTCGATCCACCATGCGGTCGATCTTGCTCGGGACGCGACTCGCTTCGATGCGCGGCTGATCCTTCCTGCCGCCGTGCTGCTCCGCGTGTCCTCGCTCGTACCTCACGCCGAATCTTCGGTGCCGGTCTCTATCGTAGTGATTGTCCACCATATCTAGCAGGTGATCGCGGGACGACGACAGGGCGGGCACTCCGACCGCCACCGACGAAGACGGGGTCGTCGGTATGGAAGGCATTGGCGCCGCCGACTGTACGCTCGATGACGTGGCAGCGTGCCCGCTCTTCTCGTGCAAGGACGCACGGTCCAGGGACGCTTCCCGAAAACGGTCCATGCGATCCCGCGGCGAATTGACGCTCGACTTGCCGCGACTCGGCGGCATGTCCTTCTCGCCGACAACGCCGCTCCTCTCGTATCTCCCGTCCAGACGCGACTGCACGGAGCCTCGCTCGCGCTCGGCGAGAGCCTTCGTCTCGGACCGCTCACGTTCGCGCTCACCTCTGCTCCGCTCGCGAGCGCCGCTGCTCTTCTCAAACGGCACGTCCTTACTTAACGGTCGTTCCTTGACTCTGCTGCCGTAACGCGAATTTTTGTCCACCGGCAGGCTCAGCGTCGCGGACGAAACCACAGCGGGCACATCTCTCTCCCGCGATTTCATGGGTTTCTCCCTTTCCCGATCGCGGTCACGATCTCGCTCTCGCGTCTCCCGATCGCGCTCCCGCTCGCGATCACGCTCGCGCTCGCGATCACGATCCCTGTCTCTGTCTCTGTCGCGTTCGCGCTCTCTCTCGCGATCGCGATCGCGGTCGCGATCCCGTTCCCGCTGCCTCTCGCCGCGACAGCGCTCCTGAGACTCGTCCTTATCCTTGTCGCGCTGAGGCTCCTGGCGCTGATCGCGAGGTAGCCTCGAATGGCGATCGTCTCTCATCTCTTTCTCTCGTTGGCGCTCGCGGCTCTTCTGTCGCGCCTTGTCGCCGCCGTAAGTCTTCTCGTCAAAGCTGTCCTTGCTCGTGGCGCCCCTTCGATAGCCCTCGTCTTGGCTCGGCACCGCTATTTGCTTTGCCTTGCCGGAAGAGGCCGGCTCATTTTTTCGCGCGTCTTCCCGCTCTTTGCTCTTGTCCCTCTTGTGCGAGTCGCGCTCCTTTTTTTCCATGTCCCTCACGCGACTCGACGAGCCGCCTTGCTTTTCCGGATTCTTCGCCGGCGTGAGATCGCGCCGCGCTCTCAACGACGCCTTGTCGGGTGTCCGACTGCGTCGCGCCTTTGACGGCACGGTCTCTTTGACGTGTTGGTGCTTGGACGAACGGTCCGTTGACGACGGCGGCGGTGGCGTGCGCGAACGCACGTCTTTGTCCTTACACTTGGATTTCTGTCGCTCGTCCGACTTGATTTTCTCGTCGATCGCACGACTTTTTTCCTTATCCTGCTGTTCTTTGATTTTTTCAAATGATTTACACTTTGTCTTTGGACTACTCGTGTCTTTCGACAGACATTCATCCACATCGCGCACTTTTTTGTAATGCCTACTTTCCTCCTTGTCCACCTCCCGGCTGCTCTTTATAGCTTTCGGCGATTCGCTTCTGTTTCTCTCCCGAATTTTGCTAGTCGATGACGCGTGATGCGCTACAGAAACTGAGGAGCCCAATACTACGCTTGACGAAGACGTGACACCACTTGCAGGTCCTTGTTGTATTGTGGGCGACCTACTGTGTAACGAACTAGAATGCTTTCTGGATACGGACGCTCCGTGTTTCTTGATTGCTCTCACAGTGATATCCTTCTTCGTGGAATTAATTTCCAGCTTGCGTTTCTTCTTGCTGATAGCCTTATCGTTCTTTGCTCCCAATCTTTTGAGCTTCAGTCTGTAATAAAAATTAATTTGATTAATAAATTGTACAATAGTATATTAGTAATAAAGTATAGTAATCTAACAAGTATAATATAGTAATCTAATATATTAAATAAACGCATACTTTCTCTTTCTTTCTTTATCCTCATCGTATTCTGTGGAAGCACCATGATGTCTCTTGGTTTTGATCTTCTTGACCTTTTTTCGCGAATCTGACGTTGACGTGGAAGATGAGTCTTCACTGCTAGAACTGCTGCTGCTGCTAGATGTGCTAGAAGTGCGCGAACTAGAAGAGGAACTCATAGCTTTCTTCTTCTGTTTTACTTTATCCTTGCCATGTACTTCTTTATCCTTCTTCATTTGTAGATCCAGTTCCCGTTTTAATAATTGCCGCCGTCTCTCTAATACCTTCTCGTCCTCGTACTCGAGATCTGTTTGATTCCACTCTTCTATATTTAAGTCTGGGCTATGAGATGCTTTCTTTACAATCTTCGATGTGAGTCGTTTAAAAGGGTCCTCAATGAGCTGCAATGTTGAAAAAAAAAACTGTATGAAAATCTTAGGCCTAATTTTATTAACTCTAATTTTTATTAACTATCCTCAAAATATGTTACACAAGAAATCTTATGTGCTTACCCCGGATGTGCTTGCGATTGCATTATCTTTCTTAGCTCGTTTGGATGGACTTATTAATGTATGTGTATTTGCGTACCTAGTTAACAAATAAGAAAATATGGAAAAATATTAAAATAGATAATAAATTGTACAAAGTTCTCGCACAAATTTAAATTAAATAACTTAGATCTTAAAAATTAAAAATTATTTTTACTTTATCCGTGGCAAGTAATATGAATAATGCTTCGTAAAAACTTGATTCAGTCTTGTACCTATTACATCATATTACTAATGTAAAACAAGAAAAGTAGTTTGATTATTAAAACTCAAATGGGTATTGCTTGGAATATAAACAAATGAAATTAAATTTATAAAGCTCATTTCTTAACACATCCCCGCGCTCATTGATTTTATGCTCATTGTGATCTTCCATTCGTATTGCGAAATTTAAAACATGTTCATAAAATGTTATATAAAATTATAATTATAAAAATTATCAAGAAAGGTATAATATATAAAATGCGTTATAAGATAAAAAGAATCATAAATAAGAAATATAAAATATTTCAAGTGGAAAGTAAGTTAAGTGGTTAAGTGTGGACCACCAATGACTCACACGACATGCAACATGTGAAATTTTAGCTACAATAATTAATAATAGTAATACTTTTGTAGTTATATATTATAAAAATTTGTCTTGTTTGTCTCCATATCATGTATTAAATTCAATTATTCTCAAATAATTGTAAAAAGATATGCCAATATCTGTTTAAAATACTTCTTAATATATTCAATAGGGATTATCATCGAGAAATTTTCATAAATTAAAGAGTGCTCACTTGCAACTCTTTCCGTAGGAACAACTGCCGTTCAAAGCCCAATTTCTGCAATAATCCGATGTATTCTGAGCGGAGGCGGCGGTGATCGCTGGTTTGGTGCCTAACCTCTCAAACACACTCGGCCGTCGAGAAGAGTCTGTATTACATTTCGTAGGGTCAGCCGTTATCTTCCTTATGTTTGGTTTTGACATATTATCACCATAAAGCACTTGTATTTTCACAATGGAAGCACATAACTGCAAGCATGCAGGTGTTCACGCGCCGTGCGAAATCGTCATGCAATGCGATCTCGGCGCGGGATATGTGCGAAAATAAACATCGCTTTCGTCCGGGATGTCACTGTAAAAAGTATCGTACCGATTATTCACAATTATCCCACGATATTCATTCGGCAAAACCGAAATCACTCGGTTACACCCGAAAGTCCCGAAACTTTGCGGCTTGCGGCTTCTAGCGCCAAATTTTTTACAGCGGGAAGAGCGAACAAATTACAAATTGTGGATTGCAACAGATAATTTCTTTATCTACTATAGATATTATTTTATATCATACATTTTATTATCTACTCTAGATATTATTTTATATATAAAAATCAAGGCACGTAAACCTGAAAAAGAAATAAAATTAACTTTTTTAAAATTGATACTTTTGTCGAATTTAGTTAAGAAAGAAAGGGGGAAAAGGAGAGAGCAAAATATTTGCATGTAATATATATAATTTTAGAATATACTATTTGTTGTATATTTTTTGTAGTTTATATATTGTTTGCATGGATCTTCATTAATTTATGGTAGCTAAAAATTTCGTTTTATTTCTTTTATCATTGATACTTTCAGGAAAAATATCAAGTATTTAACATCGATGTTCCAATACCTTTTCCATATTCCTATGTATGATTCATGCGATAAAAATATATTCTCGACACATAGTGTACGTCATATACATTGCTCTTATTGGAAAATATGCGAAAATCGAAGACACGTTCACATATACGTGCATCTTTTACAACAGATATTGAAAACTCGTCTAATTTTGTAATAAATTTCGTTAATAGGCTCTTCTGCTTTCTGTTAATATGAAATTTTGTTATAAGAATAATAACTAATTCCCAAGTCTATTTTAATTGTAAGTAAAATAACATATATTCTCATCCCTAGAATGATTTAAAACTTATATTTAAAACTTTGCTTACCGTTCACATAATTTTTTTATTAGAATAAAAATGTCAATTTAACCGCCTATACAATGATGAAATTTACCGTTTTTATAATAATCAGCCGTGTGATGATATTAATCACTTATCATCAGGTCGTTTGCCGTCGTAACTCGATTAATATGATTAATCGCCGGCTCGCACGCCAACTCCAATTATACATTTTACATTCAACGACACATAATAACAAAACGTCGTGCCTATTTTCACATTAACAGCAATTCATTGATTTAATCAAAGCGTCAAGTGCGCGTATATATCAACATAAATACATCATAAAAGTATTGATGTCACCGCCGAAATAATAAAGTGCCGTTTCGTACAAACGTAATGCACTTATTGAAATAAATTCTTATTATACGCAATACTTTTGCACACTCACGATTACAATAATATCGGAATGACGTCTCGTGCTAATCTGGTATTACATTAATTTGTCGCCGACGTTACATATACAGCAAATGAAACCTTACGGTATTCCGCATAACAATAAATTAGACTGCATAACGATTCGATAAGGATTATACAACATCTGTATTTATATATGCATATAATCGTATGACTATATCCACACTTTTTTCGCAATTTACTATTAATTTGCGCAACTTTACATACAAAAATTGATTAAAAAAATATTAGTATGAATATAATATAGATTAACATCTTGCATATTTAAAATATATGTATATTAGTAATTATAGCAAAATATAATTCTAACCGCGGCGTACAATTGTTTTAAATATTGAACAGAGGGGATGTAAAGATCGAGAACATTACATCCGCCCTCTTCTAAAACTCTAAAGCAACAATAGATGAACGCGCCACGATTACAATCTTTCCATACATCGACATCTTTCATCTTGAATATAGCGTTTTGTTCTGAGGTAGATCGAGTCAGCAAACAGCAAACAACTACATAATCCAAAGCTCGTCTCTAAGTGCACCTTATGCACATTCTACATTTTTTACTATTATTTTAAAACTACATCGTAGTCGAAACATTAAAAAAAATCATCAATGTCAATTAATATTGTAACATTATATGCAACCAATTAATTCGAAACCTTTAACTTTATAAAAATTACGCGACAAAAACGTAATTATTTACATCCGTAGATCTAGCGTGTGCAAAGAGAATCTGCCGAAACATATAAGACTCAGTACACACAATCAATATAACAAAGCTTAACATATGCAAAAATTATATTCCACTTTAATTATCTTTATAATTATTTCGAAAGAAGCTAGAACATTTTTATCTTAAATTAAAATGTGTGCCACATTAATTGATAATGGACATTGATGATGTTTAATAGTTTGTCATAATTATTAAGTGATATTCGGCACTTTTCCTTGCACTTTCATCAGAATATATAATATTGTTTTCTTTTTTAAAAAGGGCAGAAGAATATATTTTTGTAGCTAATTTATAAAAAAAAATATACTTTGTGTACAAAGAGATACGTTATTGAAGTTATTGTACGTGATGCGTGAGAAATGTTATATACAGTTTAACCAATATATACAACAGCGGGTAAAAATGCAGATACTTTCGTAAAAAAACGGAAAAAGAAAAAATAAAGAAAAACGATTATTAACAGGTCTAAAAGTTAAAGCAATATATATATCAAGATTTCGTTTCTCACTTATACATCTATAAATATTATCTGAAACAATGTATATCTGTTAATAATACATTAATCAATAAGTTAACTATAAGTCTGCTTTCTGAAGCATTTAGCAATGATAAACTTTAAGAGATAAAAGCATTATCTATAAGTATATAGACAGACATATAGCATACTTGCCTAAAATTATATACACGCGCAGATGTAAGAGATTTATAGGAAAACGATTCTATATTAAAAATTATCGATGCCACCATCAGGAACACCGGCTCTAATATTTTCCAACACCTTGTTGACAAAGTCTGTCGAAAAATTCGCTATTCGCATTTCTGCAACTCAAATATTAACATATACATAAAGATAATAATGATAATTAGCATATATATTGTATTTTGTGTATACATCCATATATGTGTATACATAAAAAATATTAAAATAATACTCACTAGTAGCAATCTTGAAACATTTCTCCATTTGTCGCGTAAGCTCTTCCTGATTCTTGGGATTGGATTCGGCTAACTTAGCTGCGAGCGTATGCTTAGCTTGTGATATACCTTGTATAAGACGTCCTGCAAAAATATTTCAGTTTTTAATATACTCGAAACAATATACAGCTCTGCGTATGTACATATTGGTATTTCATAAAGTGCAGATTATATATCCACATCTACTCAACTGTGTTCTTGTTCGAGTCCGTGTAGTTTTATCTTGTTAGCTTCATGCTGAGCCTTTTTTTTCAAGCGACACGCTCGCGAAGCTAGCTTGTTTTTCTCTTTGCGTGTTTTCGGTCTTGCTGTGAAGGGCAATTCCGAAACAGGTGTCATATCATTTATAATGCGATTGAGCTTGTCCAACTCTCGTCCGATGTTATGAAGCTTTCGGGGATTCGGCGTAAGATCATTTCCATCGCCTTTCCGTGCTTTCCCGCTGTGCTTAATCCCTCTGAGGGCACAATGGGGACTAAATACAGGATCGGTTGCTTCGTTCAAAACATGTGGATCTTCCAAGCGTGCTCGAGCGATTAATCGTTGTCCTTTTGGTCCTTTTGCCTGAACATTGTACTGCCAGAAGAATCTTTCTTTCTTACTGTGCCTACTCTCTTTTCCCTCTGTTCCCGTTCTGCTACTCTGATCGTCGTCACTTCCGCCTGTATCTAGTAAATAAACAGTCAGCTAGTATAGCTTAGCTGTATCTTAACACACTTAATTTACAAGATATATTTAACAAAGATTTAAATTATATTTCTTTTTTTGTGGTAGAAAAGATCAGAGAAAACAATAACTTGTAACGAATCACATATTAACAATATGTAAATACCATTATCACTGCTGTAGTCGTCATAATGATCACTATCGTCGTCACTATCTTCATAGCCTTCGTCATGGCTAAGGGGATCAACACAAAGTGGATCTGGACTCAGTGCGCCTGTGCTCAGGCTACTTGTCGATCCTGCCTCTACCAAACTGCCAGTACTTAGCAGATGTTGTCGCGGTTCCCTGTGAGCCCAGATTTGATCCAGATGTCCCATTGTTTGCGTTGGTGCGGACATGGAGAGTCTTGAAACTTTGGATTTACCGCCTGTTGTGGAGATGTTTTCTATCTGATTGGATACTGCATTGTTAAATGGATTTTCACATCTTCTCATCAGTAGATCCTGTAAAGTAGATGACGCGATAGGCCGTCCTACAGGATGTGGCGAAGTCGATGAACTCGCTGTTGAACTACCTGTATGAATACCATCACCAACTTTGTTTTAATAAACAAGAAATGACAAATCAATGTTTATCTTTACAAAAACATGATAGTAGAGAGTTATTGTTACTCGATTACTTTTATCATTCATTCAAAATACTTTGTACACTTAATATTGCTATTAAGAGGCAAACTATCTTTACAGTTTTTATATCATGTATGATTTCTTTCAACATACCTGCAATGTTGCTAGTGCCTGGACTAGGAAATGCAGTAGGACTAACAGCTTCCGCATTATCCACGATGTTTGAACCTTTATTTACATTAAATCCATATGTATTGATATACGTGGGACAACTATGATAAGTTAATCCAGATTGAGGAAAACTACTAGGTGCAAATCCTATACCGCTATTGCTGAACAGAGAGCCAGTCGATGGTGGGCCGGTTTCGACTTTTATGGGCTGCACTCTTTCCTCCGGTAGCAATAGATCATCGAAATTTAGATCTCCCAACAGAGTGTCGTCGTTGGCGTTTAATTCCGCAAGAGTCGGACCCTGGATGAGTTCGGCTTTGTCCACTTGGAATATATCGTCCTCATCCATTTTGGAATAGACGTCTAGCTGATCTGGATCCATTTTAAAGGGATACTCTGTATGCTCGGTTCTCATACCCCATCCAGAGGAAACCGCCAGAGGCGAGGGAGAGAATTGATCATACGTTCCTCGCGTAGTACCTCTGTGTACTCCGGGTATCGGCACGGACGCCGACGCCGAACCCATTTCTTGAACAGGTTCCTGCTTTACTATGCTGCTATCCATTGTGTTAGCTAGCGAAAAATTGCTGTACTTGGAGTTGTCCATTAGCAACAAAAACCGTGTTTCAACGAAAACCGTAATATAGCTGCGCGCTAATCGTTATACTACAGAAATTATTTCTCTAAAAGAAGCGTACGCAAAAGCTCGCTAAAGAAATTGTCAAATTCTTCCAAGCTCGATTCGGTTCACCGTTCGGTTACAGTTTCGAGCGATGAAAATATCATACACGCGACATTTTACGCAATCGTCCCGTACTATTACACGTGAATTCGCACGACAGTTCCTCAAACGACAAACGGCAAATGTGCGCGGAATAAGAAACACGCACGCGGCCACCGAGCCACCTACACGGCACGATTTTGACTCGTCCGCTCGCTGTGTTGCTCGATCGATTTGCAGCCGTCGCGTCTCCGCAGCCACGAGGGCAAACGCTTAGAGGCTGGTTCTCTGCTTCGCGTTTCGAAAACCCGACGAGTTAGTCTGATAAGGGCGAACACGTCGAAATCACATATTGGTCCACGCGCGTTCACAGTCTGTACGCACCACGGCCGTGGTGGCTCTCGTTAGCGGGCATTTTCCGCGGATGACACATCGCGTGAGACCAGATTGGGTTTCGCTTCTCTCGGCGCGATACGACTCACCCTGTACGTGCTTCACAACGATCGAGATCGAGCGCGATCAATCGCCTTTATCTTCAGCGTAGCGTCGTGCGCGACACGGTAATGCAAATCGCATAAATTGGGAGCGAGAAATCGAAGAATACGGAGTGACGACCTATGTTGTTTGTTATTGTTTTGCCACGAGACTGCGGGGCCGAGTGATCGGTGATGTTTGCATAAATAGAGGAACGATGGTCACATGACACATCTCGCGAAATAACATCGGCCAGTCCATCGCGCCGACCAATCGCGCGCCGTCATTCCCCTGCGCGCGCGGCTACGCGCACTTTTTTTGTGCTTCACGTAACCTGGCGAGAATTTTCATTCTAATATTATTGCTACGCGTGTGCGTACTTTCACGCATGGAAAAAGCGCGGCGAAGCGCGACCTCAAGGACACGATCATCGAATACGTCCGAGATCCTTGGCTAGTCACGCATGATCCATGGCGATCCATAATCCTTTTTTTTCTTTGGTCGCAAATAAATGAGACTTGAGATTCTATTGGCGGCTCATCTCCCCAAATCTTCTTTTAGACGAGTACGTCATTTTTAGGGATCTTACATTTGCGATATTCTTCTGTCTAGGAATATTTTCTTCTATTGATTTAACCTCATTGTTTAGGTTCGTCACACTGGCCTAGTTTCCATCGAAGCACCTAGTCCGCCGTAGAACCGAATTTAAGTCGATGGAAACGCGATAGACTACGCTCATTTCACTCCCGCTTCGATCCACAAATACTTTACTTCCAATGGAAACAGCACACTAAATTTGTTCCGCACCGAAGTAGAATCGGATTGAAGACTTCGGTGCTATGAAATGTTTTGAAACTAGCGCTGCGTTCCGAAATTCACTGCCAGTACTGAAAATCTACAATATACGTAACGTAAACTATAGATTTTCAGTACCGACAGTGAATTTCGGAACACAGCTTAGATCATTATCTATGCAACTGCATGCGCGCGCAATTAAGTCAGTTCTGAAATCGTGAGAAATACTACATTTGTCAAGAAAACGTTAACATTATCACTTTCACGCGAATACACTTAAATAATTGTTATTGCGCAATTTCCATGATTTTTTTCTCGAAACAATTTTTGTAAAAACGACTATTTTAAATCATGTACTATATTTTAAGATACAAATTGGAAGATTCGAGAAAGGAAGAAACGCTTGTGCCGCAAAAAGGATAGATAACCATAAAGCCCGTATCAGATTACGCATTGAAGAGTGAAGATTGAAAGATTAAAGATGAGAAATTTGACCAATCGAAACAAAAGGAGCTAAATGTTCTTTATCCCGATTGGTCAAATTTCACATCTTCAATCTTCAATCTCATCTTTAATGTGTAGTCTGACACAGGCATAAAACAAGAGGTGGGAAAAACTGCTGACCTGTTCTTCTTGAAATTCTAATCGAACGGTCGTACGTTATTGTTGAGCGCAAAACATTTGAGAGTCAAAGGTTTATTAATTAAATAGTAAACTAGATAAAATTTTCTTACTTGCATCTCTTATATTTTCTTGAGATCAAATTGCATCTCTTATAACTTAAGTGTAAGAAGTGCAACTAAAATTAGCTGTTGTATACTTTTTTTTCGGCACGTACTTTTAGAAGTGTCCGATTGGATCATTCAAATCTCTCTCTTTTCATTTTTCATACACTAAACGTGTATCGATTTCCTTTTTTTTTCTTCCATGTGTTTATTCATACGTTTTTTGGTTGTGTGCTATATGTTAATACGTTACCTATACCTATACAAATAGTTTAGCTCTTAAGATCTCTTGTGCCACATCTTTGTTTCCCAGCTAGTAGTAGACAAAGGATAGGCAAGAAATACTGATTTTTTTCTTTTTTAAAGCAGGATATTTTACAAACGTGTCCCAAAGTAACCAAGGTATACGATATGGAAAACTTTGATGCAGTTGCTGGTCAGGAAGATGATGGGTAAGAAACAAAGTAACTGATTGTGAGAATTAGATAAACAATTGTGGTATTGCTTAACACAAAGGACTTCTATTTGGTTAGATAAAAATAAATTTTGCCACATGTTTGCATGAATAGAATTTAAAAGTAACTTTAAGAACTTTATAAATATATATATAATTGATGTATTGAATACTTTGAAAAACAAAAGAGTGCTATTATTTTTGTTAATTTTAAAATGTATATTTAGGTGAATGCAATTTTTATCATTACATGTACTCTTTATATGATGCTACAATAGTGTTGCTTGAATGCCAAGAGTAAAATAAATAATTTTATCTTATTTATGAAAAGAATCTCATTGATTCTTTTCAATCAATGAGATTCTTTTCATAAATAAGAAGAAGAAGATGAAGAACCAAAAAAGTAAATGCTTGAGAGAACAAAAGAAAAAGGGGCAATTGTGCAAGTAAAGAACAACAATAGAAAAACAGAATTTAATGTAGGTTAGGAGGGTTATCAAGGGTTCATCCGAGAGGTTTATCAAAGAGTTCATCAGAAACCATTTTTCTCTTTTCATTTTGAGTAGTGACATTTTTTTCTTCTAATTTGTGACAAAATTTACATAAAACAGAATATAATCAATATAAATTTCACACATTTGGCATGGGCAGAAGAGTCATTTAACGTTATTTAAATATAATTTATTAAATTTTAATTTTATATTTACATTATTTACAGGATGGATGCAGAATACACAATTTATGTGAATAATGTGCCACCAGAATTAAATGAGGTATATTCTGCTGTTTTTATTTAGCTATACATTATAATTATTACTGAAAATTTGAAAAAGATTATGTTATATAACTTGATTTTTACATAATTATATATTGTTATCTGTACTTTAGAAATTATATTACATGATATATTTTATTATAAGATATAATATGATATTTAGGTTGCAATTAGAGACATTTTTGGTCAATATGGTAAAATTATTCACATGTATTATCCTCGTAATTCTACTAATGCTAAATGGACTTACATTACGTATGAAACATATCGTGAGGCAGAATTTGCTATAAGAGAACTTAATGATAGAAAACCATTATGTCTGAAAGTTACACTTGCAAGAAGGTCGCTTGCAAAAGTCGCACCTGCAAATGAAAAATCACAGAATTCATGTGTATCACAAAGTTTGGAAGAAAGAATGTTAGCAACAGATGTTGCACCACCATTTGCTCATACTGATGTAAAATAGTAAGTATCATCAACATGAATAATTATTGAAACATTATTAAAGTAATAAATATAAATATGAGAATAAAGTAACATGAAATAAGCATGAGAATTAGTGGATTAAAAGACCTATGCTGGATTGTTTTATAAGCAATCTTATGTTTCTCTTTTTTCTTTATTATTTGTTACAAATGTTTCGATATTTAAATTTTTTTAAGGAAGAAGTTAGGCCAAAGAGCTATGCACATTCTTAGTGCCAAAAATGTGTATTCAGAAATCTGTACATATACATACAGGCTCTTCCATCACGAAACTGATAAATGTTGCCACCATGTTCGGATGATCATTTTAGGCAAAAAAGTGTCTTATACACCATGGATCGATTTGGTCTCATTTTCGAGATATGAGATATGCACTTTGTTGTATAAGGCTTTATAATGAAAGCTCTTTGATTTCCATGTAATAATCATTTGGTTTATTGATGTGAAATCACATTACCATTACAATCATTACATTGGCACTCAATAGAATGTTCTCCTGCAAGAAACAGTAAAGAGAAAAGAGAAGCATAAAATTATTTATCAAACAACTTAGCAAATCAAGATTTAAGATTATTAATATGTCTTTTTTCAAT